CAGTATCTCAAGGCTATGATATACAACTCGCTCTGACTCTGAAGAATGGGCTGCTGTTGGAGCTGTAGAATCAGATATATCAACTAATGTGAAACCCTAATAGCCTGTGATAACTCATGCAGATACTCATATTTGTGTGTGCATTTGCGTTCATGCATGTGTGTAGGTTACTCATAGCCTTCCGCTAGCGCTATTAAAAAACGACCCTACCATCCATCTCACAGCTGCTGGCGGTGTGTGTGGTCAGAAGATCATACAGGAGGTTTTCACTTAGCCGTGTACTCTCTCTTTTAAAGCCCTAGTATAGACCCACAGAACACAGCTTACTTTGCTCTCCTGATGAAGTCATTACAGGCTAACCCCCTTACCCCCACTCATACACACACATACACACTCGCTCCCTCTCTTTGAAATCTAAGCCGTCTTTCTTTGTGTGTGTGTGTGTGTGTATGTAGACCTAAAGAGGTGATGGGGAGATTTCTGTAGCATTTCGTGTATGTGTGAGACAGACCCAGGTTGGGGTCAGACCCAGGTCCCTCCTGTCTCCGTAACAGGATTCTCTCTGATGCAAACGACACTTCTACTTCCAACAGGGTCTAACAAAGACCCCTTCTCTCTTTTGTTTCTGCTAAAAGGCTCTATTTAACATGGAACCAGACAGGCTGGGGGTTTAGTTCTTCTCTTTAACATGGAACCAGATAGGCTGGGGATTTAGTTCTTCTCTTTAACATGGACCAGACAGGCTGGGGATTTAGTCCTTCTCTTTAACATGGAACCAGACAGGCTGGGGATTTAGTCCTTCTCTTTAACATGGAACCAGACAGGCTGGGGATTTAGTCCTTCTCTTTAACATGGAACCAGACAGGCTGGGGATTTAGTCCTTCTCTTTAACATGGAACCAGACAGGCTGGGGATTTAGTCCTTCTCTTTAACATGGAACCAGACAGGCTGGGGATTTAGTCCTTCTCTTTAACATGGAACCAGACAGGCTGGGGGGTTTAGTCCTTCTCTTTAACATGGAACCAGACAGGCTGGGGATTTAGTCCTTCTCTTTAACATGGAACCAGACAGGCTGGGGATTTAGTCCTTCTCTTTAACATGGAACCAGACAGGCTGGGGATTTAGTCCTTCTCTTTAACATGGAACCAGACAGGCTGGGGATTTAGTACTTCTCTTTAACATGGAACCAGACAGGCTGGGGATTTAGTTATTCTCTTTAACATGGAACCAGACAGGCTTGGGGGTTTGTCCTTCTATTTAACATGGAACTAGACAGGCTGGGGATTTAGTCCTTCTCTTTAACATGGAACCAGACAGGCTGGGGATTTAGTCCTTCTCTTTAACATGGAACCAGACAGGCTGGGGATGTAGTCCTTCTCTTTAACATGGAACCAGACAGGCTGGGGATTTAGTCCTTCTCTTTAACATGGAACCAGACAGGCTGGGGATTTGGCCTTCTCTTTAACATGGAACCAGACAGGCTGGTGATTTAGTCCTTCTCTTTAACATGGAACCAGACAGGCTGGGGGTTTGTGTTTCTTTTTAACATGGAACCAGACAGGCTGGGGGTTTAGTCCTTCTCTTTAACATGGAACGAGACAGGCTGGGGATTTAGTCATTCTCTTTAACATGGAACCAGCCAGGCTGGGGATTTAGTGCTTCTCTTTAACATGGAACCAGACAGGCTGGGGGTTTGTGTTTCTTTTTAACATGGAACCAGACAGGCTTGGGGGTTTAGTCCTTCTCTTTAACATGGAACCAGCCAGGCTGGGGATTTAGTCCTTCTCTTTAACATGGAACCAGACAGGCTGGGGATTTAGTCCTTCTCTTTAACATGGAACCAGACAGGCTTGGGGGTTTAGTGCTTCTCTTTAACATGGAACCAGACAGGCTGGGGATTTAGTCCTTCTATTTATCATGGAACCAGACAGGCTGGGGATTTAGTCCTTCTCTTTAACATGGAACCAGACAGGCTGGGGATTTAGTTATTCTATTTAACATGGAACCAGACAGGCTGGGGGGTTAGTCCTTCTCTTTAACATGGAACCAGACAGGCTGGGCATTTGGCCTTCTCTTTAACATGGAACCAGACAGGCTGGGGATTTAGTTATTCTATTTAACATGGAACCAGACAGGCTGGGGGGTTTAGTCCTTCTCTTTAACATGGAACCAGACAGGCTGGGGATGTAGTCCTTCTCTTTAACATGGAACCAGACAGGCTGGGCATTTGGCCTTCTCTTTAACATGGAACCAGACAGGCTGGGCATTTGGCCTTCTCTTTAACATGGAACCAGACAGGCTGGGGGTTTGGCCTTCTCTTTAACATGGAACCAGAAAGGCTGGGGATTTAATCCTTCTCTTTAACATAGAGACAGGTTGGCCTTTTGTTGAGTGTTGTGTAGTAATGTTAACCCCTAGCTTTTGATTACCTTCACACCCCTGTTGAATGGCCTGTTCTGTCTGTTAGTCAGTGCTGTCACTGTATGTGTCCCACAGCTAACTGTAACCTGTACACTGATCTACATCAATCTGAGATTTAACAAACCTCTATTTTCACACTGCTGGAGGTTGCCCTTACCCACATTAACTCATCTCCCCCTTCTCCCTCTCCCAGGTTGAAAAGATCCGCCAACTGAAAGCCAAGTCCCTGTACCTGCAGGTAGAGAAGCTGCATCAGAACCTGACCAAGCTGGACTGCACCATCGCAGCAGTCAACCAGGTATGTTAAAAGGTGCATGTCCGGGGGGGGGGAGGGGCGCAAGACGACCAGGTTTATAAATGCTGTGTTGAAAGTCATTCATTGTTACTGCTAACTATGGCGTCCATGTCTCCTCACCTCATAACTCATCAGGTGCTGGACGAGGGCTGTTACCTGGACGTGCTGCTGGCCAGAGAGCGTATGCTGACCCAGGTCCAGGAGCTGAAGTCTCTCAGAGGGTTGCTGCAGCCACAGGAGGACGACCGTTTCCTGTTCACCCCTCCAGACCAGGTAAATGCCAGATTCCTGTTCACCCCTCCAGACCAGGTAAATGCCATGATTTCATGGTTCCCCCTCCAGACCAGGTAAATGCCAGATTCCCTGTTCACCCCTCACAGACCAGGGTAAATGCCAGGATTCATGTTCAACCCCTCCAGACCAGGGTAAATGCCAGCTTCCTGTTCACCCCGTCCAGACCAGGTAAATGCCAAGATTTCCTGTTCACCCCTCCAGACCAGTTTAATGCCAGATTCCTGTTCACCCTCCAGGACCAGGTAAATGCCAGATTCCTGTTACGCTCCCTCCCGACCCAGGTAAATGCCAGATTCCCTGGTTTTCACCCCTCCAGCCAGGTAAATGCCAGATTCCTGTTCCAACCCCTCAAGACCAGGGTAATGCCAGATTCCTGTTCCACCCCTCCAGACCAGGTAAATGCCAGATTCCTGTTACCCCTCCCAGACCAGGGTAAATGCCAGATTCCTGTTCACCCCTACCAGACCAGGTAAATGCAAGATTCCTGTTCACCCTCCAGGCCACGCCCCTCCAGACCAGGTAAATGCCAGATTCCTGTTCACCCCTCCAGACCAGGTAAATGCCAGATTCCTGTTCACCCCTCCAGACCAGGTAAATGCCAGATTCCTGTTCACCTCCAGACCAGTAAATGCAGATTCCTGTTCACCCTCCAGACCAGGTAAATGCCAGATTCCTGTTCCCCCTCCAGACCAGGTAAATGCCAGATTCCTGTTCCCCCTCCAGACCAGGTAAATGCCAGATTCCTGTTCCACCCTCCAGACCAGGTAAATGCCAGATTCTGTCCCCCTCCAGACCAGGTAAATGCCAGATCCTGTTCCCCCTCAGACCAGGTAATGCCAGATTCCTGTTCACCCTCCAGCCCGGTAAATCACAGATTCCTGTTCCCCCTCCAGACCAGGTAAATGCCAGATTCCGTTCACCCCTCCAGACCAGGTAAATGCCAGATCCTGTTCCCTCCAGACCAGTAAATGCCGATTCCTGTTCGCCCTCCAGACCAGGTAAATGCCAGATTCTGTCGCCCCTCCACCGGTAATGCCAGATTCGTTCCCCCTCCAGACAGGTAAATGCCAATTCTGTTCGCCCCCCAGACCGGTAATGCATTCCTGTTCCCCCTAACAGGTAAATCCAGATTCCTGTTCCCCTCAGCCAGGTAAATGCCGATCCTGTTCCCCTAGACCGGTAATGCCAGATTCTTTCCCCCCCAGACAGTAATGCCAGATCCTGTTCGCCCTCCAGACCAGGTAAATGCCAGATTCCTTTCGCCCCTCCAGACCAGGTAAATGCCAGATTCCTGTTCGCCCCCAGACCAGGTAAATGCCAGATTCCTGTTCGCCCCCAGACCAGGTAAATGCCAGATTCCTGTTCGCCCCTCCAGACCAGGTAAATGCCAGATTCCTGTTCACCCCTCCAGACCAGGTAAATGCCAGATTCCTGTTCACCCCTCCAGACCAGGTAAATGCCAGATTCCTGTCCCCTCCAGACCAGGTAATGCCAGATTCCTGTTCGCCCCTCCAGACCAGGTAAATGCCAGATTCCTGTTCGCCCCTCCAGACCAGGTAAATGCCAGATTCCTGTTCGCCCCTCCAGACCAGGTAAATGCCAGATTCCTGTTCGCCCCTCCAGACCAGGTAAATGCCAGATTCCTGTTCGCCCCTCCAGACCAGGTAAATGCCAGATTCCTGTTCGCCCCTCCAGACCAGGTAAATGCCAGATTCCTGTTCGCCCCTCCAGACCAGGTAAATGCCAGATTCCTGTTCGCCCCTCCAGACCAGGTAAATGCCAGATTCCTGTTCGCCCCTCCAGACCAGGTAAATGCCAGATTCCTGTTCGCCCCTCCAGACCAGGTAAATGCCAGATTCCTGTTCGCCCCTCCAGACCAGGTAAGAGGGGTTAGAGACTCTTGTGGCTCTTTGGATGAGTGGAAATATCGACATGTCTGCCAATTTCATATACGTTATAAATACGTTGCTATATCCACTTGTCCCTAGGCCATGGCTTATTAATAGTAATATTGATAATATATAAATGTTATCTTCACCAGGCCCTGTACATAGCCATCCAGTCCATGGGGATGATCAGTAGTGGAGCGTTCGCTCCTGTCACCAAAGCTCACGGCGAGGGCTTAAAGACTGCGCTCCGTGGCAAGACCGCCTCCTTCACCGTGATTGGCTACGACCACGACGGGGAACCCTGCCTCTCGGGCGGTGACGCGGTGTCAGCGGTGGTGATGGCAGCGGCGGAAGGTAACTTGTCCGCGGCGGATGTGTGTGACCACCAGAACGGGTCATACACGGTCAGCTATCTGCCCAAGGCTGAGGGAGAAGATCTGGTGTCAGTTCTGGTCTGTAACCAGCACATCATGGACAGCCCCTTCAAGGTAATATGTATGGTATTATCATAAATATAACAACCAACTTATATATTTACACTTCTACATTTTCTATGCACATCTCTTAAGCAACGAGAAAGTAATGAAACTTGAAACATTGCTGTAGATAGCGTGGAATGCTAAGTAACATTCTCCCTGCCTGTGTTCCAGGTGCTGGTGAAGTCTGGGCGACGCTACGGGGCTCTGGGTTCCGCGGTGTCTGCGTTTGGTAGCGAGGGGGAGGGGGACGGTCAGCTGTGTCGTCCATGGGGGATCAGTGTGGATAAAGAGGGATACGTGGTGGTGGCCGACCGCAGTAACAACCGCGTACAGGTGGGTTTCATTCATTTTATGTCGTGGATTGGTTTGGTGTCGACTCAGCCGTAATCCTAAGGAGAAATGTTTTTTATGATGCTAGCAAGTTAACTCTTGCTAGATCAGTGTCTGTTTCGTTTGCTTTTAACTGTAGCCTCGAGGATACATGTTTCTATGATGCTAGCTATATCTTGGTAGCCCTCTTAGTGAGAGCTGAAGCATAGCGTGTACAGTGCTTTCGCTAGCCATCTTTAGAACAGTGGCTTTTTTACATTATTTCCTTCTGCGACTACCTCCTACTGTCCAGATCTTCAAGCCGTGCGGTGCCTTCCACCACAAGTTCGGCTCCCTGGGCTCTCGCCCCGGTCAGTTTGATCGTCCAGCGGGTGTGGCGTGCGACAGCCAACGGCGGATCATCGTAACGGACAAAGACAACCACCGCGTGCAGGTGTTCACCTTCGACGGACAGTTTATGCTCAAGTTCGGCGAGAAGGGCACTAAGGTACAAACTCAGTCACGCGCACACACACACACACACACTCATCAGAGCTGAACTAATAACTATATTCTACTGTACTCTATTGTAGAACGGTCAGTTCAACTACCCCTGGGACGTGGCAGTGAACTCTGCGGGGAAGATCTTGGTCTCTGACACCAGGAACCACCGCATCCAGCTCTTTGGCCCTGATGGCTCGTTCATCAACAAGTACGGCTTTGAGGGCGCCCTGTGGAAACACTTTGACTCACCACGCGGCGTCGCTTTTAACCACGAGGACCACCTGGTCGTCACCGACTTCAACAACCACCGTCTGCTGGTGATTCGGCCAGATTGCCAGTCTGCCCGGTTCCTGGGCTCAGAGGGAACCGGTAACGGGAAGTTCCTGCGTCCCCAGGGCATAGCGGTGGATCAGGAGAACCGGATCATCGTTGCCGACTCGAGAAACCACCGGGTGCAAGTGTTCGAGCCCAACGGGAACTTCTTATGCAAATTTGGCACCCATGGGAGTGGCTTCGGACAGATGGACCGCCCCTCCGGTGTTGCTGTGACACCTGACGGAGTCATCGTGGTCGTCGACTTTGGAAACAACCGCATCCTCAAGTTCTGAAGAGTTCTAATCACTTTCTTTCTTTCTCTTTGTTTTCTCTCTGTTTCTCTGTTTGGGAGAGGAAATTGAAGAGAAGGATTCAACAAAGAGAGGACAGTTTAAAGAGAGATGATCAGAGCAGGTAGAAATGCGTTATTACAAATTTAAGGGAAAAACAGATTTTTTTTTTTTGAGTAATTATTTTTTACTTTTAGGTTTAGTTTGTGTAAATATATTCCTGTGGTATACTGTATGACAAAGGGGACTACTAAGACAATTTGATAATCAGTAGTGAAAGTAACAAGGAAGAGATCCACCATTTCCCCGTATTCTATCTTGTATGCTCGTAGCTCTCTCTCTCTAAACTCTCCTCACGTCGCCTTCTCAGGGATTTTTCTCACTTTTTCTTGAAATAATTTTTAACCCTCTGCTCCGCCACCTACCTCATCTAGTTCTTTATGAATGTACTCACCCTCTCCGAGCAGAGGTCTACTCTAGTCTGTCAAGTTTTACAAAGAAGAAAATAAAAAAAGTCTACCTCCAATACTTTTATTTTATTTAAAGAGACATAAAAATTAAAATACATTTTGACCTGACCTGTAGTGGAGTCTAGTGCGTTCAGTGATGTCATTACATGTTGTTTAGGGTAGCTCGTTTGTAGGTCTTTGTTTAGCATGGCCCCTCATCTCTCCATGTGTAGTGTCGTTGCAGACTGAAATAATAGAGGTCAGAAGAGAGGGTTTTATGTAATGCCAAACCTGTTAGAATGAATCGGCGTTAGTTAGCTCAGGTCACAGTAGGAGACGGATGTTGACAAAAGTAAAACTGACCAAAATAATCTGCTTTTTAGCTTTACTGGTTTATTGTTTATTGATCGCAGCGGCACCAGAGTCTGACCTGGGACAGATGCAGTTTAATGGTTGGTGGAAATCATGAGATAGTAGTCGTCGTTGTTGTTGTGGGGAGATCCTCTTTGCTGTCCCAAATTATCAATTGAACATTGTTGATTCCTTTCAGGCATCAGCAAGCTGGATCTATATACAGCCCCGCCCGATGCGTCTGATTATATGAGGAAAAAAACAATGAAAATCAATATGAAAAAACAAACGGCATTTGTCTACTCCGAAGATATTTTAGAAGTTTATCAGGAGTTATCAGGTTGTATCGGTTGTTGATTAGGAGATTGATTATGAATTCTGTCTTGAGTGACATCACGTTGTGAATGATGCAGAAGGATAACGATGCCTCCAGAAAGCAGGCGTCTTGATTGGCTGTCAACAGGAGTGAGAGCCAATCAGAAATCAGAGCGATCCTGTGTGGTTGAATTGTGGGGCACTCTGATTGGCTCTTGGGGCCTAGGATTTAATCCAATCCCCTTCTGACGTCACTGCCCCACCCTAGTTATTGACGCCCATTCTGAAATGCCAGAGAGAGAGAGAGTGTTCCGGAACATGTGAATGCAGACCAGACCTCTAAAAGATGGAGGTCTATAGACCAACTAGTGGAGTCAACCAAAGGTAGAATTTCTGCACAACGGCCAACTGTATGTTTGGCATAGAAATAACTAGAAGGTCCCATTGAAGACACCTTGTTGTTTAATCATTTGTTGGCGGTCTAAAACGCTCACCAACTATCACCAAAAAGATGCGTTCAAAGCACTGTCAATGGGTAGAAGAAGAAGATAGGGCCTACTTTGGAGAAATATTATCAACGCACACACAGTACTTTTGACATGTTGAAACAAGAATCCCAGACATATAAAAACTAAAACGTTTTATGTAGCTTTTAAAATGTAAGTACCTTTTCAAGCCCACTTCTGAGGAGAACGTTGTAGAAAGGTCTGAAAACGGACCATATCTCACAGCAACCAAAGAGCATCTTTCCAGGCCACTTTCAATCTCACACACCTGAGAGTGTGATTTCAATCTAGCATCACCGTCCATGCTAACGTGGCACTGCTTCATAACTAGCATCCCTTATTTAGCATTAGCATCTCAACCCATACAACCATTTGAGCGCTAACAGATTCCTGAGTTATCACCTGAGGTGGACCTGTTGGAGGGGTTGTAAATCCCCCTTTCCCTTGTAAAGTTTAGCCACTTCTTTTTAGCGTAGCCTAGCGGTATGGGCGTTTATTAGTGGGTTTCTGACTGAGCTTCTTACCTCCAGAGGAAAGAGCAGGCCTGCACTTTAAATCCTAATTGACATAAACTTTCACATCCCGTTCATTTACCTTAACTGTCAGATAGCTCAATTTTATATACCTCAACTTTCATATTCCTCACAGTTACTCATGTGTACCTCAATTCTAGGAGCTCATCAACATACAAATGTCATTTTACAAATCTACCTCAACACACCTTTTACCTCACTTTAAATGCCTCTCATGTTACATACAGTACAAATACATGTAGGCCTACCTCTCAAATATTTTGACTAGTAACTTCTAATCCTCAAGTGTCTAGTACTGTATACTTCAGTTTCCAGACCGTACTTTAAGTTATAGTCTTAAGTTTTTTTTTTTTAAACACCCCATGTTACTTTTACCTCAACTCACACTTTAAATCATGTAACGTTTACCTCACCTGTTGGACCAAAGATCTTAATCATGGTGGCTCCATTTCATTTTAAAATTACAAGTTACAAATGGTTAAAATCTCTCCACGTTGTGTCCATGAGTGGGCGGTTTAGCATTGTGGTGAATTATGCCTTTTAATCATATGGAGAAACCAAATCGTGCAGATCTTAGCGTTGTGCCAAAAATATATCTGTGGGAGTTTGGTGTCAAACTGAGTTGGCATCGTGATGATACTGTCATAGACGGTGAATGTCATTGGACCATTATATCATAGATATTTAGTGTTTAGCGAATCAAAGCAGCCAAGGACAGATCCCTGTGGTTTGATTGGATGCACTTATGTGGGCTGGCCCCCTTTCGCTTTACCTCATTATGCACATCAGCAGAGCTGTAACCTGATTGGCCGATAGTGAGAATGATGGCAATGTTACTGTTGGCTGATTGGCCTGGAGTCTTAGTGATGTCAGAGGCACATGATCATGTAAGATTCCACTTGTTTGTTGCCGTGCGTTAGGGGGGAGAGGGAGAGTTCTCTCTTAAGAGTTGAGGCCTCCATCATACCCCCTTTAGACCTACAAGAATTACCTCTAATTTCAGCACAATTTCTCCTCAGTAAGAACATTTAGAAGTGTGGACTTAACAGTTAGCGCAATGTTGGTTGGTACTAACTTATTTTAAAACTCAATTTTTGACAATGCAAAAGTGTGGTGTGTGTGTGTGTATGAACACATTGAGTGAATAAGATGTTTATGATGAGTTAATAAGCTTGTTTATTATACGTTACTAGACCGGAGACGTTAGCACATTAAAGGGCACGCTAGCACATTAGAGTCCCCAGACCCTGCTGCTTAGAACCCACAGCCGTGTCACCGATATGATCTGTCAATGGGTTTCAGTATTAGAATATGAAATGTTTAGTCAAGACTGCATCAACCTTTTTTTTTTTTTTTTTTTTTATTAAAAGTTATATCTTTAAGATCCTTAGGTTTTCACTCTTAAAGAGGATTTTACACTTTTTTTTGTTTTGTTCTTTGGTTTTGGTTTTTCATTTGTCGCATGCTTTAAAAACATTTTTTAAGTGTACCAACGTCTCAGATATAGGTGTTGTAAACTCAACGGGTTGGTAGCTGAATCTGGGAATGGTTGTATTATGATTATATACCCACAGGTGTGTGTGTGTGTTTTGTTAGGAGTGCGTTGGATGGATTTAACCTTTTGACCTTTGCGATTGTATTTCCTGTTCCCAAGACGCTCTGCAGAGACCAATCGGTGCTCAGCTGGCCATGTCTGGAATCCTAAGATGAGGGGGGGGGGGAAACAGCTCAACTCGCCATGCCTTAAAACAGAGATGTAGCAGAGCGCAGTTAGTACAACAGCCATTAGAGCCGCACAGTTGAATTACCACACACACACAATGAAGACTGTTTACACTGTAGCCATTTTGTTTTGGGCCTAGTAATGACAACCTCTCATTCACTCTCTCTGAAAATAAGCTAGGTTTCGTCACAGGTTTAGCCGGCAAGCATCATTAGAATCGCTTGATTATTTTTTTTTCCCCCTCACAAAAATATCCAGGAAGTGTGGTGTTGAGCACGTGATTGGTCTCCTGTACTCCTGTTGGGCAGGGTTTTATTGGCCCCTGTGGTTCTGTCCACCATTTTGTTTCTAGCATCTCACGGCTTTAAGAGAAAAGAAGAGAAGTTTCTAAAAGCGAAACTGCAGCAGGTGGAAGGTGTGCAACGTGTTAATGATTGTATCTTTTAAAGAAAAGTAAAAATACAGAAAAAATAAATAGAAACTCAGGTAGTTCTTTGTCCCTGACCTGTGGGTGTCACAGTGAAACGTGTACCCCCTAGTGATGCGGGTATCACAGTGAAATGTGTCCCCCTTAGTTATAATGTAGTGAATCATTCTGTTATGACCTTAGTACTAGTCTCATTGATCACGTTCCAGGACCCCCTTTCTTAGCAGTTGGGCTGTGAAAATGCTGAGATTTCAATGTGTGTGTGTATTATCTATATACACCTCTTCAGACCTTGAGATGTGCAGCACGACTGGTAAAGACGGGCTGGAACGTGACCAATATTTTCTGTGTGTGTCCGTTTTGCATATTACAGATTAGTTCTCAATCTGGAAAATATAAAATATAAACATTTTGCATTTTTAATAATTTCCCTCAAATGTACTGTTTTTATGTTTACATTTTCATATTTAATTTTTGTTAAATGTTCCAATTGTTTGTTTGATAAACACAGAAGGACCTACTCCAGACCACACGACACTGCGACCCTTTTGGAATGTATTTTATTTTTTAAGAAAATGGTTTGTTGGGAGTGATTCTCACACCCTGCTCGTTGTTAGCAGGATCACATAACAGGACTGATACAGTACTACCAATCAATCTGTGTCTGGAGAATTACAATGGACGCCATGTTGTTACCCA